GAAACAATAAAATAGTCAAAAGGGTTTAGTATTAGGCAAATGTGTTATAGTTGCCATGAGGAGGAAGATTGATAATTTAGGTTACTTGTTCAAAATGTGATCATTATTGGTAGATGAGTTTACTTACCTGATACTTCTATGGAAATTAAGTATCCCGTGACACAAACTATTTACCGCGAACGCAATATTCAAGGAACCTCAAAATTCGAAGCTGCATTTTGGTATTAACCATTGTACTCCACACCCCAATTCGCCAGCTGAGTTTATCCCATGGTTGAAAAGTTGCATGAGTGGATTCAGTCGGATACAGACGAATCTCTGTCGCATAAGTTTCGACCAACTGTCTTTAAACCACAGCCCGAATCCAGTATAAATATCAACTGCGGTCGACTGCTACTGAGTGGTGCGGTGTTACAAGATCAAGGAAAGATATACGACTTTCAGTTATCTCCTGTATATTCTTACCGATCGTGTTGTGTGAACCGACTGTGCATGAGATTATCTGGATTGATGAAACCAACTTCAATCTACATTGTTCAAGAAATTATGGGCGTGCACCAAGAGGTAAGAAGTGTCGGATACCAGTGACCAGTTCAAGAGGAAGAAATCTGCATGTCATATGCGCTATGAATGCGGATGGGTTGTTGAACTATACTCTGAAAAGAGAATCCTACATCTCCGTGTTGTGCCTATAATGGTTGGAAACGCTAGTTGATCAATTATTGCGAGAGCATAAATCATATGTGATTGTGTGTGACAACGTACCGTGTCACTCTAAACTGGAAAACGTCGGTGACGGAGGAAGGGTGAGCATTCTCAGACCTGCTCCATATTCTCCAGCGTTGAATCCGATCGAAATGATATGGAGCATTACGAAAAGTTACATCAAAACGGAGCTCCGAAATCAGCATGCTAAGATTAGGACGGGTGATGCCGAAGGACAAATGAACCTACAGGACTGGAGGATGGTGTGTTTGGAAAGCATTACTAGTGATGCCAAGTATCATATCACGAAGGATCATTGCCAGGATGCAACTAACCATGTTCGTGTACATTATCCGACAGCTATCAAAATGCTTGATTTTTAATACATTTGATCTCTGTCTAATCACTGAATGTTTTTGTAAATGGGAGATATAAGCCTAAAAGTTCCATCATTATTGGAGTCAATAAGCCGGGTGCATTAGACAGTTCGTAGACTTTGGGGCACATCTACAATTACAGTATGTCGGTTATCCATTTTGCGTTTGTCGATAATTTCATATAGAAGCAGTCCCTCGGTAGGCAGTGTTTTCCAGGACACGTGGTGATTAAAGAAAAATCGAGGCGGGCGGTTCATGCATCATTAAAACCGAACGATCATGTACAACCAGTAGACTAGGTTGGACAGGTCGACATTTTGCTTATCGTCAGAGTGTAAATGGTACAAGCTATCAAACATTGGGGTCTATTCCAGTTTAGTCAAAATAATTACGAACGGTTGGATTTATTTTCATTGCGGATAAAGGAGGAATCATCTTCCATCTTTTTGGCGAGTGATTTGAGGGAAAGAGCGAACCGCAGTATTTACACCATCGGCTAAATATTTATGCTAAATATTTCGTCAAGCGTGCGTTTTAATGTTGGATATCGCACTTGATTCAAAGGAATCGGTGTTAGTTGAAGAAGTCATTGCCCCAATGAAATTTGCTCACCAGGATACTAAGGGCCTAGACTGATTTCACTCAAGTGACGGTTCATCCCACTATTCAGGTCTGGGCATGGTGACCGATTTATCGATCCATCTTGACGTGATTCACTTCGTTACCTGGCTGCAGAGGTCAATTAACAACGGGTTCGTTCATTCACGTCAATGGCACACACCCGATCAACGACCACGGATATAGCGCTACCGGGTGGAACGAGTTTGTGTGGGGGGGGGAGGGGAGGAAAGGGGAGAATGGCCGACCTCACCTCACCTAAACTTTTATTCTCGCTCCGTAACTCACCCAAAAAGTACTTTTCTGTTTACTGAGAAATTAGTTCATTCGGGGTTGGACCGAGTCTGTCTTAGGTAGACGTTTTGCGGCCGAAACACCAATCCGTGAGGTTCCCAAAGGAGTGCGATTGGTTGGATTCACTTGAAGTTGAAAAGATATAGACTTATGGTCAACCTCACCCTCCCATGGTAGGACTGTCACCTTGATTCCGATCGATAAACATGTTCTCCCACCCTTTCCCTCTGTTGAACCCGACTGTAGCTAGTGGCTTTTGCACTGATTTTGCTTAGTCGTGTATTTTTTTGGTGTTTAGAAATTCGTCATTGTCCTGATCGAACTCTCACATGAATGTTTGTACACAGCTGAAGAGATAACGTGAAACAGTTGAATTCACCCTGTCCTGTGACGATGCTTGTTCTCGCTATTATGAAATTCCTAAAGGGAACTGGGTGTATGAAACTTTCCTGGACAGTTTGAGTGTTGGTGTAGCTGTTTGGAATGCGTTTTGCACCTTTAAAATGTAAAATGTTGCTACGGGACTCGGTTGGTAAGCTCCCAACCTCGCCCTAACTGGAGGAGTAAGGGGTAGTGAACAAGTTTGGCTGTTTGAGCACCCCGCGAACGTATGTGTTAGTGATAACGAATAAGCCTAAACGAGTAATTCCCCTTTAAAAGCATATGCACAATTAATTTCCTGTTGCTAGCTTCAATAAATAGGGAGTGAAGTGGTGTTCCTTGGTCCCAAATGAACGTTATACCAGTTGTTTAAAAAGCAAAGACCATTTATCAAAACAGATTTGCTGATAATGAAAAACATTCACCAATTACATCAATATAGAAGTCATAAATCTATTATTTAATCTGTGTATAAGTAACAAAAATGACAGTTAATTAAGGGGAGCTAGATTATATTATATTTTGAAAAACGTCAGAATCCAGACTGCGTGCCAAATAAATCGCGGTACAAAAATCTTTATGAAAAAGAAATAAACGTTCCACGATTTCCAAGTGGGCCGAATACTGCCAGATTGCTCAGGCCAATGCGGGTGAATTCTCTTGAGGAATCCACAACCGGAGCCTTTGGTTCGCCAAAGCCTGACCCGCATGGCAGCGGGGCGGTGNCGGATCATCATCATTCGGACGGGGTCAAACGTCCAAAGTGCCCAAGACACCTTAAGGCCCAATCGAGCCGGTGACCACCGCCACAACGAGAAGGGTGGGTGTGTGGTTCGTACGCCTCCTCATGGTTGGTTTGGAATCAGGGTCTTTCGCCAACTCCTCTAGGTGAACTATTAGTGGTCCACTAACTCGGTTATAGCCCACGGATATTGGCTTTTCGTTCTCACTTTTTTTAATTTTTACTTCCTTTTATTGAATACACAATCATACAATTTTCAGGAAGGGGGAAGCGGCCAATCAAAGGGCTACCATGGGGAAAGTCAGGCGGTGGTGGTGGGGTTTGAACACACATCCCCCGAGGTGGTAATTTGGTGACGTCACCATCGGATGGGAAAATACTGTCACGAGAAGGCAGTGAGTAGGACTTCCTCAGCAGAGGCTATCTGAGAAGCTTGGTCGTATGGGAGCATTTCGTGAGGTGCAAGGGACGGGTGACCAGCCGCAACCCTAGACGTTCCACCCCCGACTAGATTGAGGCTTTTGCCTACATTGTGTTCTTAATCAATGGGCATAGTTAGTGATTTGAAAAACGCTGATCTTAAACCAACCAATTAGATCTACATATCTCTTATCCTGGCCATGAACACCGACTACATTGGGCGTCCAAGTGTATTGGATGTCCGACCCCGTCCAAGGGGCGAGTTGTACGATGGATCGCGGTTTTCACACTGCCCGCAGCGCTGGGGTTCAGGCTTTGGCTAGTGAAAGGCCTCAATTGTAAATATGTCTGGAACATTCGCCTGAGCAACCTGGCAGTAACCTGCCCACGAGCCAATCGTGGTTCTATTTGTTTTTGTAAAGATTATTGCATCCTTACTCATCTGGCACATAGCCTGAATTCCGAAAAACGTGAAATAAGAACTCATGTTATGATAGTCGCAGCTCACCAATAAAAGCAGAATGTTAGGTTCATGTTTACAGAACGAATTAGGTTGTTGTAGCCACGACGAATAAAACGAGTATATTTTTTCTGGTTTTGATCGTTGTGGCTAAAACAAACGAATTTTGTTAAAAGATGCCGTTTCAAGTAACCATGAATAGGAATTTGTGCTGACATGGGTTTCACTCCGTGAGGCAAACCGCCGTGTGGAAAACACTGAATGAGACATGATAAAATACGTTAGTTTATATTGTCGTCTGGTGTTTCCATTTGAGCGGAAAACCATGCAGAAGGCCGTAGAACACCAACGTTTTAAGAGATTGATAGGTGGTTTCGCTTATCCAGATAGGTAGCACTTTCTGCAATTGCACCCACACGACAAGCAAGTGTGCAACGAGGGGAACGCAGACAAAATGATGATACTGGGTCACCTCGGTCAGACAAGCAGAGCTCAATTCAACCATTGATCGGAGGGCTGCCGTTAGGTGTAAATGCGGATCAATCGCACTCGTGACGAATTTGTGGCATCGTGCCAGACATGCGAATGTCAGTAGACACCAGGATAGTGCATACGAGATAAACTCACAATTTGCATACCGAACACTGAATTTGCATAATCAAACGCATGATAAAGGGTAGGTGCACGACATCTGCAACAGGTCATCATTCTACCGTAAGAATGAAGGTGAACCTTATTACGCAACTGTAACTGAAGGCTCACTTAAGGCCGAAGGTCTTCAAATGAACCTTTAAAATGCATTCAACAGACATTTAGTTTATCGTTCGCAACTATACGAGCGAATGATACTCATTGAGAATGTATGTATTATTCGATACTATGCATTATTCACATTGACAGCAAAATGCTGACCACTAAATTATATCTGTAAAGCAACCAATGGTCGAAACAAGGCGACCGTTACTAACTTCACTCAAGTCAACTCACCTCAAAACGGCCACATTTATCGTTTGTGGGTTTTCACATGGCGATGTAGGTTACCTAATTGTGCGAACGCCTTCATACACTGCGGGCATCGATAGGGCTTCTCGCCTGTGTGTGTGCGAATATGAGCACGAAGATGATCTTTTTGTGGGAACGCTTTTGGGCAAAACCGACATGGATAGGGTCGCTCACCCGTGTGCGTTCGGATATGCGCTTGCAGGTTATCTTTGCGTTCACACGACTTGGGACAATAAGGACACTGATGACGTCGACGACAATTTACATGACTGGTGGTGCTTGATTGGGGAACTGGAGACGCTGATTTGGTTGATGTTGTACCGGTGGGAGAGGGTAGAACACACGGTGACAGGGGTCGGTGTGCATAAGAACTTAGAAGGGGAACTTTCGAATCAGAATTCTTGAATGCTTGTTGACATGCAACTGAGACAGTGGGAGTAGAACCGGACAGTACGGAAGAGCGTGAACATGAAGATAAGAGATTATCTGCTGACGGTAAAACGATAAGTTTTTTTGGAGGGAATACGGATGAAGGATTAGTGTTATTTGTAGCAGCCGGAACGCAAGTAATCATGGTCCCTGGTGTAGATAATGTGTTTGAGGGAGCTGGATTACTTGGTATGGAAGTGGATGGATAACCGGGTTGTGCCGCGATAGGAAATTTCGAAGTCGGATCTAAATTAGCAGATGAAACTGAAGAATCCGTTGTGACCATAGAAGCCGTCTGTGTTGCGATAGACATAAGTGATGAAGCCAGAGGTGATGGTAGTAATGTGTTCAAACTGGAAGACGGTTGTAAAACTGAGGTAGAGGGGGACATGAGTAATGTTTGTGGACTGGTAGGGAGCACTGTTATGGGAAAAGTTAAAGTCGAAGCTGTTAGATTGTTCGAAATCGATCGGTTTAATGCAGCTGCTAACAGAGTATTTTGAACATTCGCAGTCGGTTGCCCTACTCCAAATTGCAGACATGCAGAACCCGAATTGAGACCTAGCAAACTCTGCAAATCTGGTGGACGGTAACCCCAGGATGAGATTGTGCTGTTATCGAGCAAGTTTGGATTGGCCGGTTGGAAATTCAGAGGGCTCGTAATGGTTGGAAACAAGCAGGTCTGTTGAGGACCAGAAGATGGCACTGCAGTTGGAATCAACAACAAGCTAGGTTTTGTCTGAACCTTCGGTGTGGAATTGGTGGAAAGCAGAAAAGTCATTTCAGAAGTCACAGGACTCACGTTGGAGGCCTGAACCAGTCCAGGTATCTTCAACTCCGGTTTTGGAGAACGTAGTAGGAGGAACTGTGTGCCAGCTGCCAGTGCACTTGAAGCACCATTTGTTGTTCCACCAGGATTTGTGCCAGGCACAGAATTTAAACCACATGGTAAGAGTAAAGAACTCACACCCGAAGACGGTACTGACGGCATGAACAACACGGACTGTCCCAAATTAGAATTTAGATGGCACGCATGTTGAGTCGGTACACCCTGTGGAGTCTGAATTTTAGAGGTGCCGGTAATGGGGATTTGAGAACCGGGTAATAGGAAGACAGTGTTGTCACTTCTTGTCGTGGCAGTGCTATTTGTAAAAACGGGAGATAACTGCGATTCGAGTGCAACAGAAGTAGCCGCACCAAATTGCCCTGGAGGCCGTTCGTTTTTAACATTCAACAGAATTGACATGCCGGGACGAAGATTTGGTAATGCTTGCAATATTTGCAGTGGTAAATTTAAATAGCTTAATGCATTACGATTGGTTGTCTGAGTAGGTGGGAGAGAACTGGATAGACCATTGGTTTTATTCAAATCTGTGGTTAAGAGAAATGATATTGACGACTGAGGTGAGGTAAATGTGCTGGGTGTGGATGATGGTACAGTGCTTTGTGCTATTAGCTGAACCGCTCCTGGAGGAAGAATAGATGAAGTGACGCTGGGCTGTGTCGAACTCGATAAAGGTGTTGACTGGCCAAGCACTGGAGCAGAAACTACACGTGTTGTGACTCGAGACAACACAGAATCTTCCGGCTTAGCTACGGAAGCAGAGCAGCTTGAGGACAGCACCCCAGTATGTCTGTATGTCCAGCCACCATCAATAACAGCGTTCTTAAGCAAAA